TACCCAATATCTCAGGACTTAATGAAGCTCAGGGTCTTGATGTCTCATCACAGAAAGAACTCAGTGAGAGACAAAGTCAAAGGTAAGAAGCAGATTTATTTAGAGAAACACACTCCACAGACAGTGTGGGCCAGGTCGGAAGGTGAGAGCAGCCCCAGGGTGTGGGTTTGTCAGTTTTTATAGGGGTAGTTATCTCATAGGCTTGTGAGTGGGAGAAGTATTCTAACTGGTTTTGGGAAAGGATGGGGATTTCCAGGAACTGGACCACCGCCCATTTTATGAACTTTATAGTCGGCTTTGGCACTTTCCTCGTGGTTCAGACGGTCAAGAATCGGCCTGCAATGTTGGAGACCTGGGTTTGATCCTTGGGTAGGGAAGATCCCTTGGGGAAGGGAATGGCAACCCACTCCAGTATTCTTGCCTGGAGAATCCCATGGACAGAGGAGCCTGGTGGGGTACAGTCCATGGGGTTGCAAGGAGTCGGACACAACTGAGTGACTAACACTAACACTAACTGACAGACCTGGAACTGTCATGGCATCTATGGGGGTGTCGTTTAGCTTGCGGATGTGTTACAATGAGCTAAACTGAGGCTCAAGGTCTAGTGGAAGTCGACTTGTCTGCCATATTGGACATATTTGGTTCTAATCAATCTGTGTCATGTCCTCGGGTTGTGTTACCCTTTTAAAGGTTATGCCCTGTCCGTTTCACTAGCAGTTTTACCGGTTTTTTCCACTAGGGGTAGCTTTCTATCACGAGTGACCTGAGAGGTTATCACCCTTTGATCATTCACAGGGCGGGGACTGGATTTCTCCTTTCTGATTAACAGCTGCACAGAGTGGTGTCTCCTAACCAAGTCACATTCCAAAATATCTTTACTTCTCTAACCCTAAAACCACAGGTCACTGCTACCCAGTGTACGTATCAGCCAAATCTTTTGGAAGTTGCTTGTCTTTCTTGACCATTCTGTGAATACTCTGTATGATAATGAAGGTGAAACTTTACACTGCTCCTCTTATGCTCAGCACTCCACCACATACTTCCAAATCTTGGCTGAGGCTTCTCAGGCTGGGGGAAAATGGTTTCTTTTCAACAAACAAGCTTCCAAGATCCCATGATGCACAAAACACTTCAGTTTGAAAAGAGAGGAGAGGAAAGCCAAATAAAATGGGCTCAGGCTGGAAAGCCTTGAAGCTGGGGGATTCTTTGAAATCATTCACAGATGCTGGATGTACCCTTGACAGGTCACTTCATCCCATTTAGCACTTTTTATCTTTGAGTTCCAAAGCTCTTAAGCAAATGGAGAAGGTAGGAAAGCTAACATTTCTGATGATATAGTTTATCAGACTGACAACCAAACTGAAGTTCCCCTGTGGTGCAAGTAAGACATGGTTCCAAAAAGAAATAATGCAAAAGAAAGGAAAAAGGGGATCATAGAGATCACACCTTCACATTTAATTTCAGAGAAGAAGACCTGAAGTTGATGTCTGTTTAGATCAGTTGTGCCCCAGTTGGAACATGGGTGCCCAGACCTGCAGTGCAGTAACATGAGCTTTGCTTTAAATAGCTGCCAGTAGCCATGTGGTGGCTGGCAGCAGGCTAGGGTTGCGAGGAGACCGATCTGGTTCAAAGTAAAGTCACATAACAAGGGGCAAGTAGGGCTGATGTGCAGGAGAGCCATTTTTCATTATCATTCTGTTTTCCTTTATATATATATGTATATGTATATAAAAGGGCACTAATTCAATTTGTATATATATGTGTGTGTCTGTGTATGTGTGTGTGTATATATATATATTTTTTTTTCCCCTCCTTTGGTTAGTATGTGTGTGTGTGTATGTGTGTGTGTGTGTATATATATACATACATATATATATATGTATGTATATATATATGTATTTTTTTTTTTTTCCTCCTTTGGTTAGCCAACCAGATATGGAAATCCACCCCAGGAACTTCTGAGATAACTTCTCTTCTTTGGCAGTCCTATTTTCTCTGTTGCTGTTGTTTAGTCACTAAGCTGTGTCCGAATCTTTTGCAACCCCATAGATAGTAGGCCGCCAGGCTCTTCTGTCCATGGAATTCTCCAGGTAAGAGTACTGGAGTGGGTTGCCGCTTTCTACTCCAGGGAACCTTCCTGATCCAGGGATCAAACCTGTATCTCTTGTGTCTCCTGCATTGGCAGGCTGATTCTTAACCAGCTGAGCCACCGGGGAAGCCCCACCATGAGCAATGGCCTCTAAAGATAAGGCAAGAAAGACACTTCTGCAAGGCGGCCTCTGCTTTCTCATCCTGGGCTTTCTAGTTTGCACTCAGGGTGGCATAAGCCACTCCAGTGGCTTCAGACTCCTACAGCCTCACACAGTGTTTAGGTCACCGATGTCATCGAGCGTGCCCTGGGACCCTTGACCTCTGAAGCAGCCCGTTGAGTGCCTGGAGCCCAAAGCCTGCAGCAGAGGGGCTGGTCAGGGGAGGATTTCAAAGTAGCTCACTTCGTGCTTCTTCATTCATGCAACAGATCCAACATGCAACCCTAATCACTCACAGAAATCTTTCTGTTTTCATTCAAATATGTCCAAAATATTTTCCTTCCATTATTAGGGAGAAGCCAAGAGGTGTCATAGAAAGAGCACGCTGTGCAAACACCTAGAGAACCATCTCCAGTCCTTCCTCACAGAGTGGCCTTGGGTGACTTCCACACCTTCTCAATTTCAGCCCCTCAGCTCCCCAAGGGAGTGACACCACCAAACGGCGTAGGAATGGGTAGTGGCACCCAGGGAGTGCTCAAGAATCGGAGTCAGCCTGTTGTTAATTTTGTCTGGACTTTCATCCGGTGGAAGTCTAGAAAGTATTCTTTATTACTTTATTAATACGATTTGCAATTGTCCACAATTATTTGACTCAGTAACCTAGGGTATGTGCTCAGTCGCCCAGCTGTGTCCAACTCTCTGCAACCCCATGGACTGTAGCCCACCAGGCTCCTCTGTCCACGGGATTTCCCCTGCAAGAATACTTCCCTTGCAAGAAGATTTCCTCTTCCAGGGGATCTTCCTGACCCAGGGATCAAACCCACCTCTTGCATCTCCTACATTGGCAGGCAGATTCTTTACCACTGAGCCACCTGGGAAGCCCATAACCTAGGGTGGACATTCCTTGTTATTTCTCCATTTTAAAATATATCCACATGAAAATAAATAAATAAATAAAATACATCCACATGGAGAACAGCAAAGTGACCCAGAAACAGCAGGATCTCCAGAATCAGAGACTCTAACACAGACCAGGCGGGCCCATGTCTGAGATGCGTGGGCTTGGCTGCTATTGAGAGTGTAGATAATCTCTGAAATATCTAATGACATGAAATTGTTCAAGCTGTCATATTAAGTAAAAGTCTGAGTTTACAAAGCACTTTTCTGTATGACCCTTTAAGTTATCTAATGTCCCCAGGTGGCCCTAGTGATAAAGAACCCACTTGCTAAAGGAGGAGGCAGAAGAGAGGTGGGTGGGTTTGATCCCTGGGTGGGGAATATGCCCTGGAGGAGGGCATGGCAACTCAATCCAGTATTCTTGCCTGGAGAATCCCTTGGACAGAGGAGCCTGGCAGGCTACAGTCCATGGGTTCACAAAGAGTTGGACATGACCGAGTGACTGAGAACTTTAAGTTACCTACTAGAACTATTTATGTACTGCTTGACTCTAGTGGTGGAATTATGGATGAAATTTCTTTCTTTCTACTCATTTATACTTTCTGAATGGTTTAATGAATATGGATAACTTTTGCAAAGAAAAACAATTTGGAGAAGTAAACAAATTTTAATGTCTTTTTTTTTCTGTCTTATTGTGTCTGTGAATAGGAAATAACAGACCTTAGAAATCATATTTTTCTGGAGGTTGGGTAGGTGGTAAAACGGTAGGCTTTAGGGTTCACCATTTTATGACTAAGACAACAACATTATGAAGCAACAGCATTAATTAGAAATGTCATGCTATCATGTGGACAGGCAAAAGTATTAGAAATCATAAACTGTACTGATAATGCTATCGATCAATCAATCAATCAAAAACTAAGTATCTATAAGCATATGATGTGGCCCCTATTCCCAGCAGCCTTGAGATGGTCTGCCAATTGTGCTAGTAGTCAGGTCAAGTGGAGAGAAAGTAGTAAAAAAAAAAAAAAATCCACAAAAAAAACTTATAAACGTAACACAAACACACACACACCCAAGTTGATAATCAATAATTATCAATCACTGACACCTCTTCCATCATATAAATATACTCTTATAAGTGGATTTAATCTTCAAATTCAGTAAATACATTTCATAGATTAGTCATAAAAGCAGTCAGTGTCCACTAACAGTACACTTAACAGTATTAGCTAACAGCATACCTTCAACCCCAAATTAAACATCTTCATTCAGCATCTTTGTAGGGTTTTTCCAGCAGTTTCCTATGTTCCCTGTCACAGAACTGAGCTAAACTGCTTGGGCAAAGAGGAGAAGGAGAGAACACAGTCTCCACCGGAGTCCAAGGTCACACCTCACCTTCCTCTTACCTCACTCTTTCTACAAGTGTCACCAAAAAGCTATCTTATTTACTGAAGGTGAAATTTCAAGACGCAAAGTCAATCCTCTTAAAAAATTTTTTTTAAACTTTGAAAGATTTGGAAATAAATTAATACACTAAATAGAGAAATAAAACAAAGCATACTATCCCAAATCAGATATAAGACTGTTACAAGAATATATCTCAGTTATTTTTAAGTGTATTTTACTTGCTGACATAGTAAATACAACTCACCTTTCCTCCATGGATTGTTGCTGAAATAGATCAGGCAATATGCTTGAATTAATGTGATCAATGCATTACAACTATTACTTCCAAAGTGTGGATCTGTGTAAAAGTGTCACATACATCAGATATTCAGCCAGTTACCTTAAGATAAATATATGGTAGTCACACAAATATTAGAAAGTAAGACTAACCATCTGAAAACTACAAATATTCAAACCTTTACTAAAAAAAAAACCAACAAAACAGCTTGCGCATGAAATTCGAATGACGTATAATACACTAGAAAAAGGCTCCATTCCAAAGTTCTACCAAAAGGAATTGTTTTTACAGATGCCATAAGTTAATCAAATACATCTAGCATCATCTGGAAAATTTAATAGCATGCCACAACTTAATATCACAGTCAACACGCATAACAGAACCCATAATTATTTTTGTAATAATCAGGCCAAAAGCAAAGAAAGAAATGAAGCAATATAAAAAATGAAACAGAAGAACACAAAGGAAAGTACGAGGAAAACGTTTATGACAAAATTGAAACCGCCTGAGAAACCAGTTAAGGCCCTGAAGTCTTTTCTTTCTTTTTCTTTTTTAACAGGAAAGTCCGGTCGGTAGGTAACCCCTAAAATGCCCTGTGATCTGCACACACCTCAGACCTTCATTTTTTTCCCCAGAGCACCCTCCCAGTAAACCAGGTTTAAAGGAAAAGCCCAAGGTGTGCACAGAAGAGACAATCTTGGGACTGGGGATGAGGCACCTGGGGACCAGCGCCTCTGCTCCCACCAGGCTTGGCTTCTGAGGGGCCACCCTTTCGTCCACCTCCGGCTCAAGCCCTTGGTGTCCGCGGCCGCTGCGGAGAGAAACGCCGTGTCTGGAACACGTCAGTCCACACACCGCGCAGGGCGGCCTTCACTAGGCGAGTCCTCTGTCAGGGGGCTTCCAGAATGCAGATTGGACCTAGGCTTCTCAGATGGATGTGATTTCCATCAAAACTAGTGCCAAACAAACATCTTTGATATGCAAAATGTCTACTCTAGTGAATATAATCATTCCTACATGCCCCCCCCCACCCCGCCCCGCCCCACCAAGTTTTCCTCCAAGAGGTTAAAGCAAATAGCAGATCTGTAAATGCTAATGCACTTGTTGTAAAGCTGAAGACAGGGAGGGTCAACAGAGAAGGGCATCAAATGATGAGAAGAGCTACAACCCATAAGATCTTGGGGAAAGTTAATATTTCATAGTCTTTAATAAAGCAAGACTATTATCACCCTCATCTGGAAGCATTTGGACGTTTATAGTGAGTGCATATTAAAAACACATGTCATCAGTAAATCTTCACATGCTGGACAGATTAGCAATATAATTTTTAGCTGGAAATTTTAAAATATCAAATAGAATTATGTACAAAGCACAGGCGCTTGGTTTTTACATACTTTCAACCATATTCCATATACAATTAAGCCACTTTCAGTTCACAAAAATCCAATCTGCATTATCTGTGATTTGGTATAGAGATTTGCTTCTTTTAAATATAGCTTAAGATTTATATAAGCATGCACAATTAAGTGAATAACTTAACATAACCAAACTTTATTTTGCTTAAGAAAGCAGAATTAAATACAGGTTGGTTTTGTGGGGGCCCATTCTAACTGATGAGTTTGTGTGGTTCCTGCTAAGGGAGCAACTTTGATCTATTTTTAAGTGGTGAGTAATCTGCTCACAGGAGCTGGTACCTGTATATGTGGATATTTACATACAGAGAGAAGTAGAGTTAATTCTCTGACAACATTTGTTTGTTGTTCATAATTACTCTCCCAAGAATTTTTCTTAAGAGCAGCAGAAGTGAATGTGAAGGAGGCTTAAATCATGATTTGCCCCTGGTGATGGTATGTTGCACTTTCAGGCCTTTGTCACCTGCAAACTCCAACAAGTATGGTGAAAGGGATGAGGCCGATGTTACCTGCAAACTAGGTTCCTGAGGGCACTTAGACAGGACTGAAGTACATGGAGAGATTCTAGGACCCTCTCATGAGAGAAAATCACAATGGCTAATTCAAATAGCAAGTAACAAGTTACATCAACTCACTCTATGCCAGCATCATGGAGACAAAATGAAAAAAAAAAAGGCTCTGTTTTAAAATCATTCAAGGAGACACTGGAGGCAGCAGTCTGACTAGTGATGTATCTGAATGTGCCGTCCAACAAGCAGAAACAGTAATCCAGCCAGCAGGGAGAAAAAAATCCCCGCCGGGGCCAGGAAAAAGGACCAGCCATACAGCACAGAGGGGCTGAAGTCCAAGCAGTCTCTCATTCTCATGCGTCTGTAGCTTTCCATGTCAGCCACCGCCTGGACCCAGATGACATACAGCATCACCACCAGGGAAAACAGGACACCTGAGGGGACAGAACAAGACACCTTTAGCCTTTTGAAGATGTCTGCCTGAGAGTGCTAGCAGACCCATCACACACCTGATGATAACGCTGTCTGAATCCAATTCTAGCTCAATCGCCTACTTTGTGTCAGACCTGCTATTGCATGCTTCCTAGGTACATCACTTATCTTCAATGTTCAGGGCATTGAGGGCGAGAGCTGCAGAAGAAGGAGGACAGTGGCTGACCTGTACTGACTGAGCGCTTGCTGTGTGCCAGGGGCTATATCAGGTGCTTGTGAACCTAAGAGTCAAAGATCCCTTGTGCTATTGTGAAAGTCATGTCCAACTCTGTGGGACCCCGTGGACTGTAGCCCGCCAGGCGAGAATCCCTCTGTTCATGGGATTCTCCAGGCAAGAAAACTGGAGTGGGTTGCCATTCCCTTCTCCAGGGAATCTTCCAGGAATTGAACCCAGGTCTCCTGAAATGCTGGCAGATTCTTTACCGTCTGAGCCACCAGGGAAGCCCTGCCTAGCAGAATTTACTTTCCAACATTTATCTGTCTTTATTGTATGTCTTGTTTGTGACGAGCATTGTTATGTTATTTCTTTCAACATGTACAACATATTCATGAAACAGGTACTCTGAACCCCCAGTTTCAAGTTTATGCAAACTCAGCTGGTAGCTTTCCTAGCTGATTTTTAGTTCAAAGTCTTTCGACTATTGGTATAACAATATAACAGTTATAACTACAACTCACTGGTACTGTAGTTAAATGTGACAGTGAAAACAGAAGCCAAGTAAGTACCAGAAAAAAACAGAGATGGGAGCACTGAACTAATATAAAAGAACATACGTGACTGTTTAACAAACTTTCTGCGGATTTGCGATCAAGAGCCTTATCAAATAAAAGAAAGGCAGAAAGAAAGAAAGGAGGAAGGGAGGGAAACTACTAAACAGAAGGCAACATAATTTACCAACCATTTCAATATAAAACTGCAATCCACCGACTCAAAAATACTGTTGGGATTACAAGGGCAGAGAAATATCATAGTGTTGGACCCTTGACTTTATCAAATAATATGACAGTTGAGCTTTATGAATGAGGAAATCTGAGACTACTACTAAGCACATGCTTTTCCACGTGGCTGTGACTGTGACAGCAGAAGGAGGTGGTACCGCTGCACTTAGCTGCAGTCTGGAGAGTCTGCTAAGTTGCTTTACCATTGAATGAGTGACAGGTCCCCATATATGAATTTGTCCCAAAGCAAAATATACTTCCAGTAGTCACGTATGGATATTGAGAGCTGGGCCATAAAGAAGGCTATGTGCTAAGAATTGATGCTTTCGAATCATGGTGCTGGAAAAGACCCTCGAGAATCCCTTGGACTGCAACGAGATCAAACCAGTCAGTCCTAAAGGAACTCAATCCTGAATATTCTCTGGAAGGGCTGATGCTGAAGCTCCAATCCTTTGCCCACATGATGTGAAGAGCCGGCTCATTGTAAAAGACCGTCAGGCTGGGAAAGATTAAGGGCAAGAGGAGAAGCGGGTGGCAGAGGATGAGATGGTTGGATGGCATCACTGACTCAAAGGACATGAGTTTGAGCAAGCTCTGGGAGATGGTGAAGGACAGGGAATCATGACATGCTGCAGCTCATGGGATCACAAAGAGTCAGACACAACTTAGCAACTGAACAACAACAAAAATATACCTGAGGTCACTCGTTATTTGTCCAGAAGTTTAATCCAAACTTGTTAGGGATCTACTGTACTCTTTGAATGAATGAACTGAACCATCGGGTATAAAAGCTCCACATTCTAATTGCTAGTCTGTCTGGAAGGTAGGCACCACCCTGGATTAGGAGCAGAGGCCGAAAAACATGGAGAGAAGAGAGCATTTAACGTGGGTTACAAGCCTCACCATCCATCGCTCCTGTGGAGTTAACCATGTTCCTAAAGCATTTAGGTGTCCTCGCCCTCCTGGGTCATCAATTTCATAAAGAATCTTGAGAAGAAAGGACCACACGTTATGTCAAAGTATGTCATCATCAGAGCTGAAACTTTACCCTGATTATGATACAAGCTACAGAGTTGTGAAGAGTCCACACAATGGCTTCACTAACAAGAACCATCCTTCACTCTGCCTCTGAATGTGAATGTACACATCGCAGTGCAGAACAGAGCCGTCTAATCACTGCACGACAACCGGATCACAAAGAAACAGTGAAGCCGGATCCGGCCAGCAAGCTTCTGGCAGAACTATGCCTCAGATTGTGACAACAATATGGGGAGGCCATGTGCTGTCTAGCAACTCTGAGCATCTCTATGCATTTTTTTTTTCAGCAAATACACTGACAGTGTGCTCTGCTAATGTAAAGGTTTGGCTTCGTCATCTGCATACCCTTTGCAAACACATTGCAAACATTTTTTATTATTTGTTAATATATATACATATTTTCAATCTTCCTTGCATCCTGTGAATCTCTTTTGCTTTCAGGTATTTTTATTTTAAAAAATTTCCTTGGTGAAAAACTAATAGCTTTATACATCTTTTCTTCAAGAATTGTAAAACTCTTACTGAATTTAGACTATATTTTGTAAAGTATTGTAGGGGCCTCCCAGGTGGCTCAGTGGGAAAGAACCCACCTGCCAATGCAGGGGACACGGGTTCAGTCCTGGTCCAGGCAGCTTCCACACGCTGCGGAGGAACACGGCCTGTGCGACACAGCTATTGAGACTGTGCTTCAGAGCCTGGGAGCTGCAACTACTGAAGCCCGTGCACCCTAGAGCCCGTGCTCCGCACCCAGAGAGGACACTAGCAATGAGAAGCTCTCGCACATTACTAGAGAGCAGCTCCCACTTGCCGCAACTAGAGAAAAAGTCCAGGCAGCAGTGAAGACCCACAACAGCCAAGAATAATAAACAAATAAATAAAATTATTAAAATGTATTGTAGAACATCATGCAGATGATCCACAATAAGGAAGAATTAAGTTACACTTAATTATTGCTGTTCTTTGAAGAGCAATTACATCCTGAAAGCAACAAATAATAGTGGTTTCTATCAGTACAGTCTTGTTCACTGGTTAGAGACATAGTCCATTTACTTCATAACAGATCAGCTTATGATTATACCCCTGGGGTAAAACAGTGCTTTCCTACTCTTCATAACCCATTACATCGCCAGTGTCTTATATGTGTGTATGTGTGTGCACACAGACAGACAAACAGAAGGAAAATGAACTAACATGGGGAAACTATCAGTATTTACACCAAAGGCCAACAGATTAGCTAATATGGTAGCAAAACTTTATGATGGGGGCTGCATGAAGTAAGTAGCCCAAAGAAGAGTCAGGAGACTGTGCTTACAGTGGGACTGATCATACGCATACATATATTGAGGCAAACTGGAGTCAAGTTCTTCACTCCTGAAAAGGGAGTCACAAATTTGAAAAGGGGGAAAGCTAGAATGAACCCAATGGTGCTTTTTTAGAATTGAATGTGTTGCTGTGAATTTATGGTTTTAGATAGATGGATAAATGAATGAATATGGAGGCAAATGTGTGCACACACCTTTGTGCATGTATGTACCTAAATACACTTCCCGGCTGTTCCCTGTGAAAGTCTGGGAGCAACGCCACCCCAGTTCCATGGAGCACACCAGGCATCCAGATCTTGGCTTCTAAACACAGGATTCAGGGCACTGCTGAGAAACAGTTGAGTCCAGGCTGGGACAGAAAGTACAAGATGAATCTGGAACATCATGTTATACCAAAAAAGTACACGTGTGCTCAGAGAATAGTGTGGACATTCAGAAAACACATCTTGGGGCTTCTCCTAGCCAGTTCTAAGAACATTTGACTATTAAACAAATATTGATAGAAGCCCTTTACAACTCTTCAAACAAAAGAGGGATCCAAGAGCCCACAGAGATATAAATAAGCAAGTGGATAAATAAGTAGGGAGAAGGGAATGCCTTTCATTCAGAATGCTGACTTACAAATACAGAAGGAAGAGCTGAATCAGAAATCACTGCTAGGCGATCATTTAAGTCAGAATTAATTCAGGCAAGAAACAAAAATGGATACTAAAACTAGTGGATGAAATTTAGATGGGAAATAAATATTTACACCAGCTCAGAGTCTCTTCCCACAAAACACGTATTAGTTGTAAAGAAAAAACAGCAACTTTACACCAAAGAAACTTGGCAAATCCCACTTTACTCAAGGGATCAAGGCTGGTAAAACCAGGGACAGGACAGACTGATGTTACTTCCCACTGCAAGAGATTCAGTGAGAACACAACGCAGCGGCTGTGATACTGCAGTGGAAAGGGGAGAACCCAAACCCAGTACTGAGGAAGCATCAGACAAACCAACTCAGGAATGTCCCAGAAAACCACAGGCCTGTACTCTTCGAAAGAGCCCAGCTCATGAAGGTCAAAGCAGGATTTATTCTGGTTTGATGGATACTCAACTGAAACATCTAAACACAGAGCATGTTCCAGGACTTGATTCTTTTGCTTTCTTTAATAGACATTGTTTGGAAAATTAGCAAAATGTGAAGGGACTCTCTGGGTGAAGGGGCTTACCATTTCTCTTATGTTTGAAAATATATCAAAACAAGAAACAAAATGAATGAGCAAAAAAAAAAATGTGGTGGAAGTGTGTGGCTACCTGTGCTGGAAAGTGAATGTGGTGGGGTGGGAGGAGAGGATGTGTGTTCACACCCAGAGAGATGCATCTCCTATCGGTGGGATATTGTGACTGCTGATGAACAGCAATATTATTGATGATTGGATCAATAATGTATGGATGTGAGAGGTGGACCATAAAGAAGACTGAGAGATGAAGAATTGATGCTTTCAAACTGGTGCTGGAGAAGATTCTTGAGAGTCCCTTGGACTGAAAGGAAAGAAAGCCAGTCAATCCTAAATGAAATCAACCCAGAATACTCATTGGAAGGACTGATGCAGAAGCTGAAGCTCCGATACTCTGGCCACCTGATGCAAAGAGCCAACACT